CCATGCCTTACGCCGCCCTTGGTCATAGAAATGATGTAATTTGAATATAAATTATTTATAAATACGTATGTCAAGTTATATTTTTATTACTACGTAAAATATATTTAAGAGTTTACGACCACTGTACTGGGTGAGACGTTGAAACAAAAAAAGTTATGCATTCCATCACGTACATAAATAGTGTCGTAATTCGCCAAGTGCAAATCAGCAAATTCGTAAAATTTTTGTTTATTTTAAACAATCCGGATAATCGAAAATCCGGATAATGGAGGTTCTACTGTATATATAAAGCTATTCAAGTGTACAGTATATCTTATCTTCCCATGTCAAAACTTTTCTTACAGACATTTATAAACACTTACAATGTTTATTTTACTTCCTATAAATCATTAATTTCAAGCACACATTTACTCTTTAGAAGAAAAATCACTTCAATATTGACATTTTTCAAGCCAATCATTTTTTAACATATTGTTTTGATCATCACAACCTTATACATTTTTGTCATAAGTTCTCTGTTGATGTGTGTCTCCATATAAATATGGAGTTACTAATAGAGAACTTATAGAAGTTTAAAAATAAAATAGAAATAAATATACACACAAAATTCCTCTTATCTAGAAACTACCATAATTTCATACAAATAACCAACAGCAGCTCATATCTCAAAAATTTCTAGAATAGAACTGAAACTTTCCCATAGCCCATCCACATGATTTAGCCTGCACCACTTGAGCAACAGTTGAAAGCATGACACTTACTGTTATACAGTTTAAATGATACTGTCTCAAACGTTAAAACTTTGTTTTTCTATTACACTTTATTGTAAATGTAATTATAAAATAAGTGAAATTAACAAATGGAATATTGAAAGGAAAAAAAATTTCATGTATCAAAGAAATGCCTACAGAACAACATTTTCTTTTTTTAATGTTGCCTCATTTCTGTCTCTTATTTATCAGATAACTAGCAGATAGGCAACTTCTTTTATGGAAATATTAGCTATAGAATAAACGTTTTATCAATTTCAGATTGGTGATCATACTTACGTTGCAGTGACATCAGCAACCTCACTTAGTTCATGTTTGACAAGGGAAGACTCTTAAGTTACATTTTTAAATATTTTGGCAAATGGTAATTTTAATTAAATATTTTATATGAAGATTTTTGTAATTATTTTTGCTAATCAGTATTGGAGAATCTATCAGAAGACCATTTCAGATTGAAGTGACATACTTCATGAGTAGTTACCAAAGTTTTTGCAACCTCTAAACAAGTAGGGATGAGACTATGTCTTGGAGAGTGCGAGCAATGCATGCACAAATCTTGCACTCACACCTGTTTGTAGAAATCTCAGCATTTCTTATTTTCTTTTGACCTGGTTCTAAGTCCCCTGACTATCTACAAGTCTGGTTTATTTTATGTGTGTGTGGTTTGGGCACCAAATACTCTGTGCCAAATTGCAACTCCTGACATGTACTCCTTCATACCTCTAAAATCACAGCTGTTGACAGCAGTGTGATTTTAGAGATGAGACAGTCTCATCAATTATGTTATGCAATACCAAATGGGAGAACCCATTCTATATCAATTAAAGTAAAAATTAAACCAAAAAAAATTAAGAAAAAAATAATTTTAAATTTTATTATGCTATTTATTATTATAAAAAAATAAAGCAAATAAACCAAAATTATAATGTCATAATTAGTTATGATTTTGTTAACAAAATGGCAGAAAGTAACACTGTTGGGCATAAACAGTGTTACTTTCTGCCCAATTACAAACATTACAAAGTCACTAGGACTATAATTTTAAATCTCAAATAAACTTAAATCTTTACTTAAGGTATATCAAAATTAATTATTTAAATTGATGGAGTCAAATTATTTTAACAAATTCTTACATAATTGTATTGTAGAAAAATACACAAAAAATCAATTTTTCATTCTAACTTATGGAGAGCAGATAACTTTAACATTATGTAAATAATGAAATAAAAGTTAAAAATAAAAAGGTTAAAGGCAAACAAACCTAAGTGCAGAAAAAAACACTTTATTACATCGATAAATTCCCTAAATGCATTTTGCCAAACAGGCCTATTCAGTAGACATAGTTTAAGACTCCAATATCCTATTACAGATTTTCATTTATATATCCAACAAAAGTTTCCCAGTTTACTTAAGGTTTGATCAGTGACATTGACTAATCAATCATAGCTGTTATAATTTTAGTTTCAATCTGCTTTTCATTCTTAATTAATTAATATTTAAATGTTTTCTTAATTAATATTCTATGATGATAATCAATATTTCAAAACTTATAACCTATATTCAAAAATAAGTTTATGTAGAGATTAGAATTAGTGTTGTGCAAAATGATTCATTTGAATCAATTCAGTTGTAAGTTGATTCAGTGTTTTGATACATGAGTCATTAATGAAGCTATACACACTGAAGTGAAACTCTTACCAGTGAATGTAATGCACAACTCATGCAAGACAAGATATATATATATATGTAACATACATTCTGACTAAAACAAAGATATATTAACTATCATCATTATTATTTATTTATTTAACTTAATGAAACACCTTCCATCACTGAGAAATGTTTATTAAATGAACTCTAATGTTTTTGACCTAATAGAATAGGCCATCTTCAGGTATAACTGAATTTGAACATATTTTAAAAATTTAACATTCTAATGACGTAACATCCAAATATTTACATTTAAATTTAAAACAAAAACATTAAATAAATTAACAAATAAATAATAAATAAAATATATTAAAAAAACTAAAACAATGATATAAATAATAAAATAAAATAAAATAAAATACATAAAAATACATCTAAATTTAAGTACAGGTACAGACAGACTTTTTACATTTTAATTTTTCTTTTATGTAGAATTTACAAGTAGAAGGTAGTCCATCCGCATCCCTGGCATTAATACAACTATCCTTTAATTTACTTTTATAGATTTCAATTTTTTCTTTGTGCAATACCTATCTTCCCTATATTCTTCATTAGAATCAATGACAGCTATTAATGATGGGTCTTGTGGCTCATCATAGTCATTTTTGAAAAACCTCAAAATGGAATTTATAACAGATTCCAAAATACCCAAAACATTTATAATAGATGCTGTGAAAACATAATCCATTTTTATTAGCAGTTGTGTTCCTTCTAACACATCAGCAGGAAGTTAAATATTTCACATATCCATTAGCAGATAGCAAGCGCTACACCAAATAATGGAAAACGTGGAATGCTAATGA